GTTCATACATTTAGATCTATGATCCATTTTGAGTTAGTTTTCATATATGGTGTGAGATATGAGGCAAGAATAGCCCCCTCACCGTTTCATTTGTTTGTAAGAGCTGAATAACTTAAAAAATTTGGAGTGTAAGATCCAGGAAGTTAAAATACTCCAATTTTCCCGCAGTACTATACCACGATCATTATTTGTATCCATGATTCTTAAGCAAATATTCAGCATCATTTTGATGTTATGTGTAATTAATTATATTGAAATTATTTGTAACATGGCAATTAACATGTGCTATACAGATAGGCATTTTACCAGAATATAACATTTATCTGATAAACCTTACTCTGTCCATTCAGGATAAACAAGAATTTATTTGAAATACTTCTAAAAATTTGAGTCTGTGGGCAGAAAATTTATAATGCTGTTGTATTCATTTTCTAGGCTGCATAACATACTGCAGTGGAATTAGTGGCTTAAAACAATGCAGATTAATTATGTCATAATTTCTGCGGGCCAGGAGCCTGGTTTAGCTGAGTCCTCTGCTCAGGCTCCCACAAGGTTGCATTTAAGGTGTCACCCAGGGATCATTTCTCATCTGGAAGCTTGATGGTGATAGATCCGTTTCCAAGCTCACTCTGATTGTTTCCTTGGAACCATAAGACCAAAGATCTAGCTTTTTGCTGGTTGTGAGCCAGATGCCACCTTCAGCCCCTAGGAGTCACCTGCCATTCCTGGCCATGTGGTCCTCTGACAACATGATAGCTTGCTTCTTCAAAGCCACCAAGAGAGAAAGAGTGAGTCTGCTAGCAGTATGGAATCTTAGATAGTATACCATAATCATGGGAATGCCATCCATCATCTTTGCCATATTCAACTGGTTAGAAATAAGTCACAGGTCCCACTCATATTTCAAAGGGCGGAGATGACACAAAGGTATGAACAGCAGGTGGCAGGGACCCCTGGAAGCCACCGTAAGGTTTTCTCCCACACGGCCATGGAAGAGCTGGGCTCCCACTTGGGATCATTGCCAACCCCCCACCCCCAGCTGCACAGGCCAGTGGTTCCCAGCATAGATGCTCTGGAGAATGCCCAAATGCCTAAAAGGACATCTAGAAAAATCTGAAACAAAAGATTAAGACAAATAAACATACAAGCTTAAAAAAAAAGCCACACTCTTGAAATCAGTTTATTGTAGAGAATTTCAAACATACATAAAAATAGAACAATATAATGAACTTTCACGTGTGTGTCATCTATACCTACAACCCACCAACCCATGCTGGTCTCACCCCATGCATGCCCCCATCCACTTTCCCTTCTTTACTTATTTGAAACAAAGTCTGGGGCTCCTGGGTGGCTTAGTGGTTGAACGTCTGTCTTTGGCTCAGGTCATGATCCTGGGGTCCTGGGATCGAGTCTTGCATTGGGCTCCCTGCAGGGAGTCTGCTTCTCCTCTCTGCCTCTCTCTGTATCTCTCATGAATAAATAAATAAAATATTAAAAAAGAAAGTCCTGGGCTTCCTATCATTGCATCCAGAAATGTTTCTATATAAATGTCTTAAAAAACTAGTTTGTGTTTTTTTAAGATTTTATTTATTCATGAAAGACACATGCACACACAGGAAGAGACACAAGCAGAGAGAGAAGTAGGCTCCATGCAGGGAGCCTGATGTGGGTCTTGATCATGGGATCACACCCCAGACCAAAGGCAGGCACTTAACTGCTGAGCCACCCAGGCGTCCTGGAAAAAAAAAACTAGTTTATTAAAAAAGACTTTATTTATTTGCAAGAGAGAGACTGCATGTGTACACACAAGCAAGGGGGAGGGGCAGAGGGAAAGGGAGAAGCAGGCCCCCCACTGGGCAGGGAGCCCAATCTCAGGACCCTGAGATCATGACCTGAGCCTAAGGCAGATGCTTAACCAACTGAGCTACCCAGGTGCCCTTAAAAACTAGTTTTTATTTATTTTAGGATTTTTAAATTTTTATTTATTCATGAGAGACAGAGGCAGAGACCTAAGTAGAAGGAGAAGCAGGCTCCCCATGGGGAGCCTGATGCAGGACTCCATCCCAGGACCCCAGGATCACAACCTGAGCCGAAGGCAGATGCTCAAGCACTAACCACCCAGGTGTCCCCAAAAACCAGTTTTTAAAAACATAACCATTATACCATTATTTTACCTAAAAATTAACAGTAATTCTTTAATATCACCAAATATTCAGTGTTCCAATTTCCAATTATCTTATGTCTTCATTTACTGACAGTTTAAACTTAAATCCAAATAATGTCTCTACATTCAATATGTTGATAAGTCTTTTAAATCTCTAATCTGCAGGCCTACTTCCATTTTTCTTTGTCTTTTTTTTTTCTTGAAGTACTCATTTGTGGAAGATATTGGTTTTTGGTGGGTTTTTTTTTTTTGGGTCCTACACAGTTTCCCAGTCTAGAAGTTGCTGACACACTACAGTTTTAAAAAGTGAGCTTATTGCAAAATCAACTCCACAAATACTCTTCAAAGATTTACTAAATGGTCTTTTTCTCAGTAATTATGTCATCTTTCTTTACTTTTCTTTCCTCCCTGCTTCCTGAATTCATTTATCTTGATCACCTCTGAATCAATAACAAAAAGTTTTTGCAAAACTGCCATCTGCTTTCCCCTGGGATTTATATCTTAAAACAAATTTTCCTCAATTGAATTCAAATTGAATAAGAGCATTGAAACCAAGGATCCCTCATTAGACAGTTTGTTATTTCAAAGCATTTTCTATTTACCATGCCTTATTTAGAATCCAGTATAATCCTGTGAAGGCAATTCTGTTTGTTCAAAATGGTGTATAATTGGGAATAATTGCAATTCCCTATCTGACATAAAGTCTCCCGAGTTTTTTTATTAGAGAAATTTAATTTATTAGAAACATTGAACCATCTGAATCTATTAATGTAACATTTCTTTTAATTTATATTCCAAATTAGGTTGTACTACATCAAGAAATAATCACAATTTTAAATCCATCTTAAAAATCATTCGCCAGAAGTTTGCACTGATTTCTTTTTTAAATTTATATTTATAATACCATTATAATACATGCAAATACTGGAAAAAGTCAATAAGACTCTTGCACTTATAAAAAAAAAAAACCTCAACAACTCAACAATCCTTTTCCCTACCTGTCCTAACCCCAGACCTTGCTTCCTCTAGACACTCAGCATTTGACAATCAACTTTCTTTTTTTAAAAAAAATTATTTATTCATGAGAGAGACACACACAGAGAGGCAGAGACATAGGTAGAGAGAGAAGCAGGCTCCCCACAAGGAGCCCGATGTGGGACCTGAACCCAGATCCCGGGATCATGACCTGAGCCAAAGGCAGATGCTCAACCACTGAGCTACGCAGGCGTCCCAGCTTCCTTTTTAAAAAATTTTTATTTATTTATTCATGAGAGACACAGAAGAGAGGCAGAGACATAGGCAGAGGGAGAAGTAGGCTCCCTGCCGGGAGCCCAATGTGGGACTCCATCCTGGACCCTGGGATCACACCCTAAGCTGAAGACAGATTCTCAACCACTGAGCCACCCAAGAGTCCCAAAAATCAACTTTCCGAAATGTTGTGGATATCTCTCATTCGCTGTCCTTGCCTTTCTTGTTTCCTCTGCTCTTGGGGGATTATACTTTTTAATTTATTTTTATTTGGGGGGAGAGGGGGATCATACCTTTTTAATTCTTTATCTGTAATTCTCGTGGTATTTGGGAGGAAGTGGAGATAAATGTATATATGTTCAGTTTCCATATTTAGCTTTCAGTTTGCTAGTTCCTTCATTGATAGTCCAGAAATGGTGTCAGAGTTGGCGCCTAGGGACGCCTGGGTGGCTCAACGGTTGAGTGTCTGCCTTTGGCTTAGGGTGTGATCCTAGAGTCCCGGGATCGAGTCCCACATCGGGTTTCTTGCAGGAAGCCTGCCTCTCCCTGTGTCTCTGCCTCTCTCTCTGTGTCTCTCTCATGAATGAATGAATAAATAAATCTTAAAAAAAAAAAAAAAGCTGGCACGCATCCCCTCTACCCCCAATGTCTCCGTCCTCTTTGAGGGGGTAGGTCTTCGGGCTATCTCAGCAAAGTGCCACCGTGTGGTTTCTAGTGCAGCCTCTGGCTCCCAGGGGGCCATGGTGAGTGTATCCCTCTTGTCATGGGATGGCACTTCCCAGAGCGCCAGATGGCCCTGTGAGAACGTCACAGGCCTCCTCTCTCGACCTTTCTCCCAGAAGGATTATAGAGTTGGCCGCAGGCCTGCAACACTGAGGACCACCCCGACATGTAACTTTGCACCCGACTCTTCCGTCTTTGGGGCACGTGCCCCCCCCCATCTTTAATGGTGCCACAGAGGCTAGGGCGTGACCTGTGTGCGGTGGTGCTGGTTCGACAGCTGGCCCTCCTGAGGGAAGGAAGCCCCGGCCTGTAGCATTTGCCGGTTTCTGTGGTGTAAATACGACCAAAGCGATTCCAGGCCGCCGCCGCTGTGCCCTGGCGTCGGGAGGAGGGGCGCTCGCGGGGAGCGGGGAGCGGCGAGCAGACGCCCCGGGGAGCGGGGCTCGGGAGGCCTCCCGCGGGCCTGCCCAGTCGGGAATGCGGTCCTTTGCCTTTCCATCCGGCTCTTCGCTCGCTCCCGGCCCGAGGCTCCCGGGCCGGGCCGACCGTGCCAACCCTCCGGCCCAGGCCCCTAAGGCGCGGCGCTGGGTGAGGCGAGCTCCGTGGCGCCGCGCCTTTGTCCTGCTGCTGCCTTGAAAAGTGCGTTCGGGGGGGGGGGGGGATCTTAATTCTCTGCTTCTACTCCACTCTGGTATCGTCAGAAGAACCTCCTTGTGAAAGTAATTTCGCGCACGCGTGAGAGACCGCTGGCTCATAGCCATGGTGTTTGACCCAGGGCAGCTTCCTGCCGCCGAGGACGGAGCGGCCAGGTAACTGGGCCCCTTCCTCCGCAGTCCCGCTGATGCCCGCTCTGTTTCTTCCACAGTTGACAGGCCCGTCAGAGTGTACGCGGATGGAATATTTGACCTCTTCCATTCCGGTCACGCAAGGGCACTTATGCAAGCCAAAACACTGTTTCCCAACAGCTACTTGTTGGTTGGAGGTAAGAACTGCATTTTCTCTTTGTCTAGAAAATTCCTGGATGATGCGCTTTCTGGAAAGGACCCCTCTCAGAGTCCCATTATTAAAATCTCACAGGGTTGTTACTCCCACTGCAGCTGATGCTGGCTCACCTGTTGCCGCCAGGAATGGAATGTGACATCCAAAAAGCCATAGGGGATTCCGTCATGGGATTATACACACCGATTCCCAGAGAGAGACGGGCCAGTAATGCCACCAAGGGCAACGGCTTCATGTTTTCCGTTAATGCCTTTCTTCTTGTGACTGAGGCATGATCACATTTGTGTTTCTAAAATTTTCTGGAGGGTTAGGAGAAAAACAATATTATTTTGATTTCAAGTCCTAGAGAGCTGAGGAGTTTAGGGATGATTAAGGGTAAACGAGGTCATTGTCTATTCCCTCTGTGTGGCCCACGGCACTTAGGCTGTTGCTGCGCTAACCTAAAGTAGTGGCTCACAATGACCCTAATTAATGGGGCTTACGAGTGTGTGTGTTAAAGAAAGGGAGATTTATATCCCTGGGTAATTTTGGTTCACGGTGAAGGAAATGGCTTACTTCATAGGCTTGTGGAAGAAGGGTGGTTAGATGCAGACAGAAATTTTCATCCTCCGGAAGGCCTACGGATTTCAATGTAGGTAGATAGTACCTGTGTAGGGAGACCTGTATCTGGCCTCTGTAGCTTCTGGAAGCACCATAGCCCTTTGTCGTGATCAGTTTTTGTGCCATTAGGTGAGCTAGGCACTGTCAACCCTTAAACCTTTACTGTGAGGAAAAAGCTGCTGGTAAGAGACCATGTCTCAATTTTTATAATATTTTGTTACCTTCTGTGAGTTTAAGACTACTTTTTGGATAATTGAGAGGCACCTTTCTACAGATTTTACTGAGGATGGTGACTGCGTGGTTAATTGAATGGAGTTCTTTCCAGAAGAAAGAGATGATAAAAGGCAATGATTACTGGACACGTCACGCAGACGGAACCCAAGGCAGGCAGAAAGCCCATCTGTTGTTCATTTCTTTTTATCTTGAGTGGAAAACCATTTCTGAAAGGAGCACTACCACCTGGAGTGTGGACTGAGCTGCTGAGGCCCTGGGGAGACCACTGCAGTGTTTTGGTGACCCAAGTTTGGAGGTGGTTTGATGTGGGTCACACTTAGGAACACTCGCCATGGCTCTGAGTGATTACATTAAAGGTGGTGCCGGGGGCATGGCATCAGAGCTCAGTGACCATGAGTGGCATTGCTGTGGCAAATGTGTTTTGATAAAATTGCAGACAAGAGAAAGTACAGTCTTCCTTCGAGGTATGTAGTAGTTACCTTCCTCTAAAATCCAGCGTCTCACAGCTATTCCAGAAATACTATGTGATTAGATGTAAAACAAAGTTAGGTTCTAGACTAAAATGATTTAAAACAATTGTGCAGGTGTGCTGTGGCAAAAATCCTGCATATTGTGGCAAAAAATCTCCAATGAAGCTGCCCCTGTACCTTGAAAGATGTTTAGCATCATTGGCACCCTTCCCACTAAATGCTAGTAGCTGCTTCCACTCAGTGTGACAACTAAAGATGCCCCACAAATTTCCAGAAATGCTTCCTAGGGGATAATGAGGCCCCTGTCAAAAACCATTGTTTTAGATTAAGAGTTTTCAAACTTTGATCCCCACAATCCCTAAAAAGAATTTCGAAATAACTGTATATATCTTTTTTTCAATTTTTAGGTTTACACCTCAAATTTTGTATTCTGTAAAAGATGTACTTTCTTTAATATTATAAATATTGACATTTTAAAAATTCAATATACTTTTTAAGGGAAGTTTTATGTTCACAGCAGAACTGAGGAAAAAGTGCAGAGAATTCCCATACACCCAAACATACACAGCCCCCCTCATCATCAACATCCCCCACCAGAGTGATACATTGGTTGCAGTCCATGAGCCTGCACTGACACGTCATCACCACCCAGGAGTCCATACTTTATGCTAGACTTTGCTCTCACTGTTGCACATTCTGTGTGTGGGTTTTGGCAAATGTGTAATGCCATGTGTCCACTATTGTAATATTGTACAAAATTAATTTTACTGCCTTAAAAATTCTCTGTGCTCTGCCTATTCATCGGCCTCTCCTCCAGCCCATGGCAACCACTTAGCTTCTTACCATCTCTATAGTTTTTTTACAGAATGCCATTTAATGGAAATTTTATAGTACGTGCGTACCTTTTTCAGATTGGCTTTTTTCGCTTAGTAATACTTATTCAAGGCTCCTCCATACTTTTCATGGCTTGCTAGTTCACTTTGTAGTCTTGGTGTATCAGACTGGATGGACCACGGTTCATCCATTTCTTACTGAAGGACACCTGGGTGCTCCCAAAATTTGGCAATTATGAATAAAGCTGCTATAAACATCCATGTGCAAATTTTTATGTGGACATAGGTTTTTCAACTCCTTTGGTACCAACTAAGGAGCATGATTGCTGGATTGTATGTTAAGAGTATGTTAAGTTCTGAGGCATCTGGGTGGCTCAGTCAGTTAAGCGTCCGACTCTTGGTTTTGCCTCAGGTCATGATCTCAGGGTGGTGAGATTGAGCCCCGAATCGGGCTCCGTGATCAACGCAGAGTTTGCTTGAGGCTGTCTCCCTTTCCCTTCCACTTGCATGTGTATGCGCTTGCTCACTCTCTCTCTCTCTCAAATAAATAATTAATTAATTAAATAAATAAAATCTTTATAAAAAGAGTATGTTTTGTACAAAACTACCAAATACATAAATAAATAAAATATTTATAAAGAGTATGTTTTGTATGAAACTGCCAAACTGTTCCACAAGTGGCTGTACCACCTTGCATTTCCTGCAGCAGTGCATGAGAATTCCTTTTTTAAAAATTTAATTTATTTATTTATTCATGAGAGACACAGGGTGAGAGAAAAGGAGAGACACAGGCAGAAGGAGAACCAGGCTCCATGCAGGGAGCCTTACGAGCATGAGAGTTCCTGATGTTCCATATCCTCACCGGCATTTGGTGCTGTCAGTATTTTGCATTTTGGCTTTTGTAATAGGTATATAGTGGTATTTCATTGTTCTCTTATTTTGCAATTCCCTGGTGACATAAGCTGTTGAACATCTTTTCATATGCTTACTTGCCATCTCTGTATCATCTTTGGTGAGGTATGTGTTCAGGTCTTTTGTCATTTTTTAAATCTGTTTGTTCATTTTCTTATTGTTGGGCTTTAAGTGTTCCTTGTATACTTCGGATGTTCGCATAACAGCCCTTTATCTCTTCTATCTTTTTCAAGTATTTTTGCCCAGCCAATGGTTTGTCTTCTCATTTCCTTGACATTGCCTTTCACAGAGCCACAGTTATTAATTTTAACTCAGTGCAGTTAATCGATTGTGTCTTTGATGGTCTGTGTGTTGTATCTAAAAATCACTGCCTACCTACCCAAGGTCATCTAGGTTTTCTCCTAGGAGTTTTATACTTCTGTGTTTTACATTTAAACCTATGGTCCATTTTGAGTTAATTTTTGTGAAGAGTATAAGATTTGTGTCTAGAGTAATATTTTTTTTGCATGTGGATGTCCAGGTTTTTTTTTAACATCATTTGTTGAATAGACTGTTTTTGCTATATTGTCTTGTCTGTGCTCCTTTGTCAGAGATCAGTTGACTATATTTGTGTGAGTCTATTTCCAGACTCTCTTTTCTGTTCCATTGATCTGTTTGTCCATTCTTTTACCAGTTCTATACCTTCTTGATTACTTTAGCTTTATAGTAAGTACTGAAGTTGGGTAGTGTGAGTCTTCAAGTTTGTCAACTTCTCCAATATTAATTTGGCTGTTCTGGGTCTTTTGCCTCTCCATATAAACTTTAGCATCAGTTTATCAATAGCCACAAAATAAGTTGCTGATGTTTTTATTGGAATTGCATTGAATCTATAGATGCATTGACATCTTGACAATACTGAGTTTTCCTGTTCATGAGCATAGAATATTTCTCCATTTATTATGTTCTTCGATATCTTTCATCAGAGTTTTGTAGTTTTCTTCATATAGGTCTTGTACATATTTTGTTAGATTTATACCTAAGTATTTCATTTTGGGAAGGGGAAGTGCTAGCATAAACAGTAACACATTTTTAATTTCAAACCTCACTTGTTCATTGCTAGTATGTAGGAAGGTGATTGACTTTTATGTAACAAAATTGTATATCCTGCAACCTTGCTATAGTTGATTATTAGTTCTAGGGGATTCTTTTTTTGGTAAATTCTTCCAAATTTTCTACATAGGTGGTCATGTCATCTGTGAACAAAAACAGTTGTATTTCTTCCTTCTCAGTTTGTATATTTTTTATTTCCTTTTCTTGGCTTATTGCACTAGCTAGGATTTCCAGTATAATGTTGAAAAGCAGTGGCAAGAGGGGATACTGTTGTCTTGTTCCTGATCTTAGTGGGAAGACTTCAACTTTCTCTCTAGTAAGTGTGATGTTAGCTGTAGGTTTTTTTGTAGATAGTGTTTATCAAGTTGACTAAGTTCCTCTCTATTCCATTTTCTGAGAGTATTTATCATGAAGGAGTATTGGAGTTTATCAAATGCCTTTTCTGCATCTATCGAGATCTTGTGATTTTCCTCTTTACCTTGTTGATGTGATGGATTACATTAATTGATTTTCAAATGTTGAACCAGCCTTGCATACCTGAGATAAATCCCACTTGGTCATGGTATATAATTCTTTTTATACATTGATAAGTTTGATTAATGAATATTTTATTGAAGAGTTTTGCATCCATGTTCATGAGAGAACTTGGTCTGAGTTTTTTTCTTACAATGTCTTTTTTTTTTATTTTGGTATTAAGGTAATGCTGGCCTCATAGAATGAATTAGGAGGTATTCCTTCTGCTTCTGTCTTCCGGAAGAGATTGTAGAGAATTGGTATAGTTTCTTCCTTAAATGTTTGGTAGAATTCACCAGTGAACTCATCTGGGCCTGATGTTTTCTCTTTTA